GAGAAAATAGGTGGAACAGCCCTTTAGCTGAAGCAGAAGCTAACTCCATGTTGGATCTAATGTTTATAAAGCGGATGAAGCAGCAGAGCCTGAAAGGCAGCAATCTCCAAACATGATGCAGAGGAAGCAGCGTTATTAGCAGCTGCTGAGTGAGCATCAGGTGGTTCCTACCTATCCGCTGTAAGATGATCTGGGGGATCCTGGTGAAATCCAGCAGCCTGTGCTGATCATCCATCTTCTCCTCCTTCATCGCAGCTAATCTTTAATCTCTGGGATTATTTCTCCAGCAGGATTAAACTCTGCTTCCAGCTGCAATCAATCCATTAACAAAGGAAGCTAATGCTGCTGCTAGCGACGACTCTTCTTCTTCTTCTTTCCTTTGTTGGCGGATTGCAAACAACCTATAGGTGCATACTGCCACCTACTGTACAACAGCGTGTAGGCTTTAGGATCCACCTACTATATTTTATTTTGATGAAAAATCAACTCAATGCTTTATTAATGATTATTATCTCCATCTGTCCCTAAAATCTCTTTAATTCTCCATCCTCTCCCTCTTATTCTCATTACTTCCTTCATCCTCTCTTCCAGTTTCATGTTTATAGTAATTCATCAGAACATGATCCATTTGTTCTTTTCCTCTAATAAATGATAATTTCTCTCCCCAGTAGAAACAGAAACTCATTCCAGCAGGTGTTTCCAGTTCTTAGTCTAGTGGAGATTATCTCTTCCTTCTGATTCTTTCTCCATCATTTCTAACTATGACAGATTTTTTAACCCTTTATAATCTTCTTCTTTCTCATCTTCATCTCATATTTTTTGCCATCTTTCTGTTTCTTACATGGAATCTGAATCATAATCTGTTTCCTAAAGCCTTTAATCCAGATTATCTGCTGTTTCAGTTCCTCTCAGTCCTCCATGTGCTGCTGAACATCTATTCTAAATAACCCGAGGAGTTTCTAAGCCCAGGTGTTTGCTATAGTTTCCCTGTGAGTGAATGTTTTCTATCTCCAGCCTGTCTGCTCTAACCTCCTCCACCCACTAAACTAATCATCATTGTTACAGATATTAAACTATAGAATGCTGCTATAGCAACCCACACCTTCTTCTTCTTCTTCTT